GGGGGGGGGGGGGGGGGAGCGGCAAAAAACCCTAGCACAACCTCCAGGTCAGCAGAAATGGAGACGATGCCGTATTGCTGTGTTGGCCCATTCCAGATCTCAAAAGGTACTTCCCCGCACTTGCACCGATTTAAAATTTACACTATTACTCTTCATTTACTAACTCACATCATATCATGATAGTATAAATATACTGTGAATAAATGAGCCCAATCAGTATCAAATCTTTCTCTTTTCTTCAATTTTTACTCAATGTGGTAGCAGAAAAAAAAAAAGAATCTGTGGAAAAAAAAGAAGAAGAAGAAGAACAATAGAGAGAGAGAGAGAGAAGTTGGAGGAGGGTGGAAGAAGAAGAGAAATTGTTTTCAAGATCCCTGCTTCATAATCACAGGAGACAACAGTAATAGTTATGTTGCATCTTAAAACTTCAAAAAATATACTGTACTATATTCATTTCAAAAACAATCCGCAATTATTGTAAATTTTTCTTAATGCTACATTTTGATTTTTCTTAAGAAAAATTGCTGCATTAGCCATGACCGGGTGTTTTGAGGGATATTATTGGAAAAAATGTATTTTAAATAGTGATATAATGAAAAATATGCTGTTAAAAAGTAAGAAAAAATTATTGATGTAACGAAAATATTATTTTATTGAAAAATGTGTGGTTGAAAATGAGTTTTGAAAGAAGGGTTATGCTACATTACTGAATTCTTATATCAAATATTTTACACCCCCACTTACATTAGGAGGTGGGGACCACAAGCCGAAATTTTTAAATACACATGAGGCTGCTCAAATTGTGAGAGGGGGACACAATTCGGTACCCCATTCGGTACATTTAGATTAATTCTTGAAAAAATGTGTGTCAAACGGGATCACATACCAAAAGAGGTATGTGTAGCTAATAAAACTAGTTAGAGTTGAATATATATTGCAGGTTATTCTAAAATACTTTATAAGTATCGTAAAAGTAATATTTGACTCAAATTTGTTTGGAGGATTTGATAAGTTTCAAACGAATTAAAGAAAACAAATTTTATGATATAAGCTACACACGTTCTTTTAAAATATATTATTTCAAAACTCATTTTCAATAACACGATCTTTAATTAAAAAAATATATTTTTTATCATATCAGTAACTTTTTCTTACTTTTGACCTCATATTTTTCATCATTTCACCATTTGAAATACATAATGCTACATTTTGATTTTTCTTAGGAAAAATTGCTGCTTTAGCCACAACGGGGTGTTCGATGAATATTATTGAGAAAGAATATATTTTAAATAGTGATATGATGGAAAATATGCTGTTAAAAAGTAAGAAAAAATTATTGATGTATCGAAAATATTATTTTATTGAAAAATGTATGGTTGAAAATGAGTTTTGAAATAAGGGTTATGCTACATATACCGAATTCTTATATCAAATCTTTTACACCCCCACTCACATTAGGAGGTGGGGACCACGAGCCGAAATTTTTAAATACACATGGGGTCGCGCGAATTGTGAGAGGGGAACACCATTCGGTACATTTAGATTAATTCTTGAAAAAATGTGTGTCAAACGGGATCACGTACCAAAAGAGGTATGTGTAGTTAATAAAACTAGTTAGAGTTGAATGTATATTGCAGGTTATTCTAAAATACTTTATAAGTATCGTAAAAGTAATATTTGATTCAAATTTGTTTGGAGGATTTGATAAGTTTCAAACGAATTAAAGAAAACAAATTTTATGATATAAGCTACACACATTCTTTTAAAATATATTATTTCAAAACTCATTTTCAATAGCACGATCTTTAATAAAAAAAAATATTTTTTATCATATCAGTAACTTTTTCTTACTTTTGACCTCATATATTCCATCATTTCACCATTTGAAATACATTTTTTTCTTAATAATATCGATCGAACACACTCTAAATTTAAGAAAAGAAAATTGTACTCTCAAAACTCAATTTCTATTATTCAAATTTTTTGTGATGATGAAATACTACAAAAAAGCAACATATGTATACTTATTCCTTGTTTGGTGCACATTTTTTAGCCAATAATGCATTTTTATTTTTTATTGTAGCATTACATCCTTCCAACTTGAAATACCTTTTATCCCTAATTTTATACTTGTTTGATGATCATTATTTACAAAATATATTTTCCACTATCTTCACTTCAACTACGTACTATTCATCAATCTACTACTAAAAAATACATTTTTAGCCGAAAAATAGGAACTAAACAGTCGCTAAATGTCTAATTGAAAAATTGCATCATACTTAGAGTATGATTTTATTCGTGCAATTAATGAAAAATAGGGTTGTTAATTGCTAGAATAATTAGTAGGGTTAGTGCCGTTTTAAAATTTTGGAGATCAATATGTATTTTAGAAAAAAAAAATGCATGTTTTGACTTTTTAAGACCTAAAGTTTCATTTCAATTTGTTAATGATTAGTTTATATTAGTTGTTGGAAAGTGAGATTTAGAATTATTTTTGCATTTTTCGAAAGTTTTGGACCAATTCACAATTTTATCCATTGGAGTAAATTTTTTGAATATATTGAGTTTGTTTGATGAAGTGCAATAAAGTGAAACTTACTCCAACTTTTCCTTTCACCTATAGCAAAATTAATTAGTGTCGTTTGGAATGATTTCTAGAAAGTGAAATGAGTTTTTGAAATTTTAAAAGTTGTTTTTCGATCTGTCTGGCTAATTTTATAAAAGTGTTTCTTCTGATTATGAGAGTTTTTAGAAGAAGTTGATCAAATCTGGCTTCCTCTAAAGATAATTTTGGAATATGAATCTCTTTTAAAAATTAGGCATTGTATGGGAGGGATTAAAATCGGATTAAAATTGAAAATATAGCTGTTATTGTTGACTTTTATTAGACGAGTGGGACCCAATAACAGCCATATTTTCAATTTTAATTAGCTTTTAATCCCTCCCGAACGGGCCTTTTTACAGAAAATTAAGGTAACTTCGTAAAAAAAAAAAAAAAACTCCTTTATGAAAAGCAAAAATAATGACAAACGAGCCTTTACTCACACCATCTAATTAATACATGACCAAGTGCAATGAAGTGAAACATAATTTACTTTCTACCTTTCCTTTCCACCATAGCAAAATGAATTACTCACTCCATTCAATACATAATTGGCCAAGTGCAATGAAGTGAAACATAATTTATTTTTAACCTTTCCTTCACTTGTAGTAAAACGAATTACTCGCTGCTTTCCGGAAAAACAAACTTTTATTTCTTTTAAGCAAAGAAATAACAATGGAGAGAGATGGAAGAAAATGTAGTAGAAACAGTAATTCAATTAAGTTTTCGATGAGACGCTTTTCGAGTGTTCACGATTAAACGACAATCATCTCCCAGTATACCATAACCACTTTTCATAATAGTAACTGTTCAAATTACAAGAACAATCAAATCAACAACATTTTGTTCTCTCTTTAAATGAAGTTGAACTAAAGTTATATGCAGAACTTTCTAGGATTCCAATGATATGCGTATAAAGCAAGGACAAAGTATAAGTAATTGAAATTGAATTGATTAATTCCGCAATCATTGCCCTTGTTCGGTACAAATTAAAATTTAGATTTTAATCCAAGTCAGTAATGAATTTTAATCACATATTTCATAGGACCCGCCATTTTTCTACCATATATTTCATCAATTTTTATTAAAAATTTGATTTTAATACCCACCAAACATGGGCATGTCATAAAAAACAAAATTTGTGTGTAGAAAAGAAAATAAATATTTGAAAAAATATGGATGTTGAAATTTTATCATGTTTAAAGAGACACGTTTGTCCGAAAAGGACATGTCTTGAAATGACATATCTACGCTAATTCAGACATGACTTTTCAATAAAATCGTTCGTAAAATATTGAGTCACGCGTTGTACCCAAGTTAATTGAATACTTCACCATATTTTAATATTAAATTCCTTCCTTTTTCATGCTTTAGGAGATTTATCTTTGACCTTAATTTCTCATTCATTCGAGATTGATTTCGACAACTAACGATAATTCCAGAGTATATCACATTAAACAATTGCCTACAACCACACGGCCACATCGACATTAATTAATTTAGTGCATAAGTAAAAAGCAAAAATAATAACTTATGCAATTGAAGTGGTTCGAAAATTGCCTACATCTGCTAGCCATGCCCAGCTATTGACAATCCACCATGTTAAGAGCCTATTT